CTTAAGTTCTGTATAATTAAGAAATGACAGCTGAAGTTAAAGGTAATTGAGGTAATCTTGGGAATGTCTTAGAGCAACTGGAGGAGAGATAGAGAACTTTCTAAAATTAGAAGGGCCTTCATATATGAGGCCACTGTTTCCACAATAGCTGTATGAGGGGCCCAAAAAGCAAGAGATGAGAGCGGGGAGAATTTGGATAGGGGTTTTGTTAACACCCCCTGCTGAGGGTTTCCCCTTACCTTAGTATACCTTAGTAAGAAGGTTCTAAACATTAGAATCAAAGCTCTCCTTTATGGTATTTGGAATTGGGTATTAATTGTACAGTAAGCTTTGTACGGGTGTCCATCCTATAATAGAGACATATTCGGTCTTAATCTTTTCTATTCTCTGTTCTTAATCTTTTCTGTTCTTAATCTTCTCTGTTCTCTGCCTCAGTGATGTCAGGCTCAGGGTATGCACAAATGGGAGACCATGTGAGCAATGACCTCTTCCAGAATGGTGTTTTAACAAGCTGTATTCCCTAGTGAGTACTCTACAGGCTGCAAAAAGTTATCAGCCCTGTGAAAGATATAAAAGGAAGATCTTTGCGTTTATGGACCTCCCAGTCTGGTTGGGCTGTCAAATTTGAAACACATAAAACTCAAAAATTTGTGTGCCCTTAGTCATGAAGAATGAGAAAAAACTGGGAGTTCTGTAAGTAATAAAGATGAACTACTGTACTAATATAGTATGGCCGGTATAAAACAGAAACAGAAATGAAAATGACTTTTAAAGATTCTTGGACTATTTGGGAAGAAAAACTTCAAATATATAGAATTATGAAGAATTACAGAATGAATTTCTAGTTATCCATCACCAACTTCAACAGTTATCAATTCATGGATAGTCTTGTGTTCTCCATATCCCTGTCCATCCCCACCCCTCATGATTATGTCATTTCAATCATCTGTAAAAGTTTCAATATGTAGCTTAAAGAATAAGGATTCCCTTTAAAAGACAAAACCACAAAACTATCACTGCTCCTAAGTCAGCAATATTTTCTTAACATTATTAAATATCCAGGCATTGTTTACATTTCTCTATTTATCCTATAGTTTTTAAGGTTTGTTGAATCAGAAGCCAACATTATGATTGGTTAATATGACCCTTAATTCTCAGTGAATATGTAGGTTTTCCCCTCTATACAATGTTTCCCCCTGCAATTTATTGGAAAAGCTGGGTCATTGGTCCTGGAAAGTTTCCCAGTAAGGGTTATGGTAACTGTATCCCTTTCATGCCATGATTCTGTCCTCTACCTTTCCTGCAAATTTTAGTTAATCTACAGGGACTTTAATCAGATTCAGTTTTCTTTTCTTTTCTTTTTTCTCTATGTAGGCAGTGTTATAACTTTCCTCAGGAGATACATGTCTTCTTGTTCTTCTTTTCGTGAAAGTAACAGCCATTGGTGATCACTTCCTAGATCCATAAATTCATTAGGATTTGCAAAAGGGGCATATTGATTTTATCATGCCTTTTCCATTTACCAGCTTATATGAAGACAAACTCTTCCTTATCAACTATTTGATTACCTACCCTAAGATACAGTCATAGAAAAGGATAAATGCTTAACTTTTCCTTTTATTGACTGATTTACTGGTATCTTGTTACATTCCAAACTCAGTCAACGAGGGTTTTGTTGTTGTTTGTTTGCTTGTTTTTTAAATTTTCCACAGCATCATGGAATTAACTAACGTGGCATGAGTTGAGTGAAGGAACAGAATCCCTGGTAAGCGGGATGGTAGTTTCCTAAAAAACAGATATGGGGGTGGGTAAGAAATGATTGGCATCTCCAGTAGAAGGCAAAGATGAGGCAGGACAGAGAGTAAATCATATTTGGATGGGCAGTGAGTAGGCTGCTTCAGTCAGTGGTTTTGATCCTTAACAAGCAGCACATTTTAGAAAGCAAGCTCCCTGAAGGTGATGTTATTTAAAAACAATATTCTCCAAATAAAATAACCCCAAAGCACAAGCCTAGCACAAAGCAGGTGTAGTCTAGCACTCTATAAATGAACATTTGAAGTGCAAACCTGCTGTCTCATAAACCTGGTAAAAGCAGAAGAGAAAACCTGTTTTGGATTTACAGGGTCTGGCTATGGTGGGTAGTGAGCCTGATTTTTTGACTTTAGTAAAATCCACTTGTTGCTCAACAGCCTTTGTAATTACCAATATCATTTGCTTGTTCCAGCCAGATTTGCAAAATTCAGGCTGGCATCCTAGGAATTTTAAAGCTGAAAAAGGCTTCTAAGATCAAGTGGTCAGTTCCCTCACTTGTCAGGTGAAAAAGTCCGTAATACAGTTCACCTACCCCCAGAGGCACCCTGATCAATTCCTCATCCCTTACTTGTGTATTAGCCCCTTGGCATACGTGACCTGCTTTCATATGCATCCCACTGGTTTCCAAGGCTGGTTTACTCAGAATCACCTGGGGGCCTTTTGGGACGCATAAATTCATAGGCTATACTGCAGAACTGCTGAATCATAACTCTGCAGGTGGAGTTTGACAATCTTGAAGTTCCCCAGGTGTCTGACATGCAACCACTCCATTTGACTCTCTATTATATATATCAATGGTTCTCAAACTTTCCATCATACCAGAATCACCTGGAAAACTACTGGCCCCATCCACAAACTTTCTTAGTATGTTTAGGGTGGGAGCCTGAGATTAATATTTTGAACAAATTCTGAGGGGATACTGTTTGCTGATCCATAGACCACATTTTGATCTTCTGAATCAGAAACTACTTGAGGTAAAGATGGTCTTTTTAAAAAAAATTTTTTTTTATTTCTTTTCAGCGTAACAGTATTCATTGCTTTTGCACCACACCCAGTGCTCCATGCAATCCATGTCCTCTCTAATACCCACCACCTGGTTCCCCCAACCTCCCACCCCCCGCCCCTTCAAAACCCTCAGATTGTTTTTCAGAGTCCATAGTCTCTCATGGTTCACCTCCCCTTCCAATTTCCCTCAACTCCCTTCTCCTCTCCATCTCCCCTTGTCCTCCCTGTTATTTGTTATGCTCCACAAATAAGTGAAACCATATGATAATTGACTCTCTCTGCTTGACTTATTTCACTCAGCATAATCTCTTCCAGTCCCGTCCATGTTGATACAAAAGTTGGGTATTCATCCTTTCTGATGGAGGCATAATACTCCATAGTGTATATGGCCCACATCTTCCTTATCCATTCGTCCGTTGAAGGGCATCTTGGTTCCTTCCACAGTTTGGCGACCTCAATGGATAAAGATGGCCTTTTAATCCCTATTTTGCAGGTGGAGCTGATTGGTTGCAAAGCTTATATGATGGAGCTGTCAGCAAAATCTACCCTGGCCAGGCTCAAGGAGGCCAGGTTTATCAGCTGGAAATACTTTCATTTGCAATAACAGAGTATCTGACTACCAGTGACTCAGGCAGTAAAGACTTTTAATGATCTTACCTCGCAAGAAGCCTGAAGGCAGTGGCTCTGAGATATCACCAAGGACTCAAACCCTTTCCATCCTTCCCCAATCCTCTGTGCTTACTCACACTTATTGCCCTATGGTTGCCAGAATAGCTGCTGCAGCCCCACCTTGCATGCCAGCTCCCCAACAGGAAGAAAGAACCAAAGGCTTTCTCCTCACAAAGTTCTGATATTTTATTATGCAGGAATTATCTTTCCAAGCCCTCTAGCCAACATCTCCTGAAGAAGCCTGGGACATCTCCTGATATCTCCTGAAGAAGCCTGGGACAATGGGTAGCTGGCCAAAGGAGTAAGGCCGGATAGGAGAGCCCAGTTCAGTCATAGTTCATCCCTTGGGGCTGGGCATATTGTTTCCATAAACAAATCTCCATTCTCTTCAGCAAGAAGTGGGAAGGAGCTGTTGCAGGTGTAACTAACTGCCAGGCCAGGTTGGGATACTTCTGATACAGTTCTGAGGCTCAGCTGCATAAGTTTCCTAGCTCTCCAAATAAGACTGACCAAATATTGGTAATTGGGTGGCGGGAAATATAAAGGATGCACTCTCACAAAATCTCAGGGCTCTTCTTTTATTTAGAAAGCATTGGATGTGTGAGGTTCAATTTTGACATCATCAAGCTTGCTGTAGAATCTGTTCCCAGTGAGAAGCCACTGAGCACTGGGGCACCTTTCACAGACATTATGTTCCACACCCGCAGGAGGAGAAAGTTGTGTTTTTTGTGCTGAATGAGAAAAGTTTCTGTGTAACAGCACAAAGTCATCCTTGTTGTTACCTTGATCCATTAATACCTTGCTCCATTAACAAGGAACTAAAATGAAGACAATCAATCATGTACCCAAGCCTTCTCCCACCGTAATCTCCCGTCTATTGCAAAATTCTCAGCTATCAAATGAGTGGACAGGTAGCCCACAGTGGCTCTCTTTTCTAGGTGTAGTAAGTGTCCTATGGATGCCTCTAACTTTCTATTGTGTTTGCTCCTCTTCACTTAGATAGTCATGCAGCCTATCAATTATTATCAGTCTCACCAAGTATGATCACACAAAACTAGATCCCATCATCCCAAATTATTTGGATATTCCAAGAAGAAAATCAAGAGGACCATTATCATAACCTTTTCATTCCTCTCAATAATTTTTTCCTAACAAACATTCCCTAAATTGAACATTTCATGTCCCTGATGGACAAAGGATCCCCTCATGGCCTCCCTACCCCTAACTGGCCTGGATAGGAAAGAATGCCACTTAGCAGGCACTCCTCAGCCCAGACCTGCTGTCATTTTCTCTTTGGAACTCTGCAGAGCTTCCGGGAAACTCTATTATCTATGGTTTTGGGAAGTGCCAAGAATGAGCAGGGGTGTAATGGTTGTCCCATTATCCCTTACCTGGATCAGGCAAATCTTAAGTATTTATGCCACACCTTGCAAATCCCCAAAGCAATATTTTGCTTTATGTGATATTAACTATGTTATGAACCCAGATATAGTTAATTTTGCTGCTAAATCCTCATGACACCAGGTAAGTGACAATTCTTAGTTAAATGGAGGGAAAAAGTCCTCTTTCTTCAATACTTCCATACTACAAATGGCATGATGTAAAAGTGGCCCCCATTATTTACCTTCCCTATATCAATGCCCCTTTGTTACAGCCTGTTTCTCTCCACCTCCTGAGTTCTATGTTGAAATCCTAACCGCAGCATGGTGGTATTAAGATGTGGGTCTTTGGATAGATCTTGGGGGTGGAGCCCTCATGAATTAGATTAGTACACTCAAAGGAAGAGATACTTGGTGACGTGAAGATTCAGCAAGAATACAGTTATCTGCAAACTAGGAAGAGCGCTCTCACCAGATACCAGATCTACCATCACCTATCTTGGACTACCCAGCCTCCAGAACAGAGAGAAAGAAATGCTTGTTGTTGAAGTCACCCAGTCTCTGGTATTCTGTTACAGCAGCCTGAATGGACCAAGGTAGTCTCATAACTTTTCATTGCCCTGTCTCTGGGTTTGGCTATGTGACTGGATTTGTCCAAGTAGATTGGAGGTTGTGATGGTTAATTTTATGTGTCAACTAGACACATAAAACGATATTTAAACATTATTTCTGGGTATGTCTGTGAGGGTATGTCTGTATGTTTAAGGTTTTATTTATTTTAGAGAGAAAGAGAGAGAATGTGTGTGTGTGTGTGTGTGTGTGTGTGTGTGTGTGTGTGAGAGCATGAGCAGAGGTAGGGGCAGAGGGAGAGGGAAAGAATCTCCAGCTGACTCCATGCCTAGCATGGAACCCAATGCAGGACTCAATTCTATAACCCCAAGACCACGACCTGAGCAGAAACCAAGAGTTGGATGCTTAATTAACTGAGCCATCCAGGCACCCCTGGTGAGGGTGTTTTTGGATGAGATTAACATTTGAATTGGTATACTGAGTAGAGTAGTTTACCCTCCCCAATACAAGTGGGCCTCGTCCAATCTGTTGAAGGCCTGAATAGAAGACTACGAGTAGAAAGAATTCTTTCTCTCTGCCTCACTGTCTTTGAGCTGGGATATCATCAGTCTTTTGCTCTCAGACTTAGACTCCAACTTATACCACTGGCTCTCCTGGCTAGACTTTTCAGGTTCCATAATCAGCCAGCCCAATCACATGACCATGCTTCATGTTTGCTGATATATTGGGGAACTACAGAGAAACAGAATAAAAAATGGGCTGGCCCTCTTTCTTGCGGATCACCATGACAACATACACAGCTGAGCTCACCTGCTGCAGGACGTCCAGTTGCCTCAGTCAAGGCCTGCCAACAGCCAGCTGTTCCCCTGAGTGAGCTCAGTCAAGACCAGAAGAAACACCCAGCTGTGCCGAGCCTAAACTGCCAACCCAGACTCATGAGCTAAATAGTTTTTTAAAAAAATTCATTATTGAGTTCTTGATTAGCATCTTCCATGTTTCAGGAACAATACCAAACATTGACATTATCATGATAAATGAGACATGGTCACTGTACTCCAGAAACCTGTGGGCTAGTGATAGAGACAGAGAGGCATAGATAGACAGATGCATAGATGGAAATTAAAATTCAAAAAGGTGAGAATTATGAAACATTACAAGAGTGTTTTCAAAGCTCTGAACCTCTTTATAAATATTAAGCAACTAATGATTCCTCACACTGTCAGGCACAATCCCCCTCTACGTTCAGCCATCTGTCAAGGAAAGGTTTGTTTTTTTTTAAGCCCACCAAATTTTGGGGGTAGAATATTATGTGGTATTATTGTGGCAATAGATTACTGATACATTATAGACAAATGTCCACTGCAACACATAAAATACAAAGATGTATATTTTTAAAGCATGAAATTTCCCTGCATCCTCCATCTTCACCTTTCACATCTCAGCTGAGGTCCCTGTGTTTACACCCAGGTGTAGAAATCCTTGCTCAGAATCATGCAAACATATACTCACAACTACAGGTTAATTTTTGTGGGTTTGTGTTTACAAAATAAAACCAACTCTGCAGTTTACTTTTATCACTTACCAATATATAGTGGACATCCTTTCTGGTCAACAGGCAAAGATCTATACTTTTTTCTGATTTCTTAATTCTTACATATACACACATGCACATATACAACTCTACATAAATGGCTTGTCATGAAATTCAAGTTTTTAGGGAGCTCTGGACTTCCACTTGTGCGTGAGGCGAGCGGAGCCAGAGTCGAGACCAGAGGCTGAACTCGGGATCTGACAAGATGGCCGGCCCGCCCCCCGGATTATCAAGGAAACCCAGTGTTTGCTGGAAGAACCAGTTCCTGGCATTAAAGCAGAACCAGATGAGAGCAACAACCGTTATTTTCATGTGGTCATTGCTGGCCCTCAGGATTCCCCCTTTGAGGGAGGGACTTTTAAGCTTGAACTATTCCTACCAGAAGAATACCCAATGGCAGCCCCTAAAGTATGTTTCATGACCAAAATTTATCATCCTAATGAAGACAAGTTGGGAAGAATATGTTTAGATATTTTGAAAGATAAGTGGTCCCCAGCACTGCAGATTCCCACAGTTCTGGTATCGATCCAGGCTTTGTTAAGTGCTCCCAATCCGGATGATCCATTAGCAAACGATGTAGCAGAGCAGTGGAAGACCAAGGCTCAATCCATAGAAACAGCTAGAGCATGGACTAGTCTATATGGCATGAATAATATTTAAAATCAATCTGATCATCAAGTGTGCATCACTTATCCTGTTCTGCCAAGACTTCTTCCTTTTTTGTTTGCATTTAATGGACACAGTTTTAGAAACATTACAGAATAAAAGCCCAGACATCTTAAAAAAAAAAATTAAAGTTTTTAGTGGTGCCTGCTTCCCCCATATAACCTGCTTTACTGTTCCCCTCCCCCAACAACATAACCATGTTAAACCTATATGTGTCTTTCCTAACTATTCTTTGTGCTTATATAATTGTACAAAGTTGTTTGCTTTATTCAAAAATATGCATTATTCGGGGCTGCCTGGGTGGCTCAGTGGGTTAAGCCTCTGCCTTCAGCTCAGGTCATGATCTCAGGGCCTGGGATCGAGTTCCACATCGGGCTCTCTGCTAGGTGGGGAGCCTGCTTCCTCCTCTCTCTCTCTCTACTTGTGATCTCTCTCTCTGTCAAATAAATAAAATCTTAAAAAATATGCATTATTCATACTTATCTACTTTTTGCTTTTCCTACTCAATATCTTCCAAGTCCACTCTCAACAACGTCTCCCAAGTAAAGCAGAAAAGTCAAATTCATTCTTTAATTGATGGCTGTATAGGATTCATGGTGTGAATGGGCCATAATTTAGTTAACAATTTGCCCACTGATGGGCAGTTTCTAATTTTTTTTTAGGCCACTGTGAAAAATGCTATGATAAACATCCTCAAAATAAATATTTCAATTTGTATTTATTTTTCCGTGTATGGGATAGAGTCTCAGGAGTGACACTAGTGGACTGAAGAGTATATATTTAAAATTTTAACAGTTAAAACAAGATTGCTTTCCCAAGGACTGTAATAATTCATACTCCAGCATAACTCTTTGAGGGAAGAGTCTTAATCATTCACAAGCTGCTAAGGGTGGCTGTGAACACTTGCTTAATTACACCCCCTTCCCATGGAGCTCTGGAGTGAGAACAGGAGACAAGGATGAAAGCAAAACTAATAATACGTACTTTTATGCCACAACATACTCAGTTGACTTAGGGACCATCCTGTCAAAGTATTCCTATGTGTTGTTTCAGCAACAGTCAACCCTCAGAATCCTACCTTTTTCCTTGTGCCATAAACCCTAACCATCCAAAGCAAACCAATCAAATAACCAGTTTCTGGGTTCTCTTGGGAACCCACCCCAGGCCTACTGCCAGGACTGACAAGCTGGCAAAGAGAATGGGTAAAAATATGGCAAGCTTAAACTAGATACAGTTCCTGACCAACTAGATATCTTATCAAAGGAGAAGAATTTTAGGAAGAGCCACCCTCTTTTTCACAACTTCAGTGTACCAATATATAAGACAGTGCCCATAACATCACCAGACACTGTCAGAAGGTGACACCAGAATGTCCTGAAGTAGTCCCCTCCACTGTTGTGCTCTCCTGTCCTCACTCCCAGGAGAGTCAGGTGTCCTTTCATGGATCACAGGTCTTTGTGATGACAATGGTCAAAATGTTGGCCAATGTCCCATTTGAACACCAATGGCATAGTGCTCATTGGCACAAAGCTGGTTCTCTGGTTTAGGTCATGATTTGGGGAGAAGTGCCACTCACTAATACCTCTCTTTGGATAACCTAGGTCTTTTTGGAAGCTTCCCAGCTGGAGCTATCACTCTATATGACGTTGCTATGCAACTGTACTCTATAGACATCTCCTGGGATGCTAGAAAGACTTCACTTCCTTCTAGACAACATTTTTTATTTTAAAAGGGTAGAGACTGGAGCAAATGCAAGGCAGGGTATCCACATGCCTTTCTATCAGTCAGGGCCCCTCAGATAACAGGCATTTAGAGAGATCCCAGCAAGTTCAAAGCTTGGTGCTTAGCACTGGGATACAACATGGTCTAAGGCCAACCCTGCTCTCAAGTTTCCAATCTCATCAGATTGAAGGTTCCAAAGCAGCAATATGTGAAATAACAATTGAAGGGGACATGTGCTGAGCAGTACAGAGTGAAGGTCTGGCAAGAGGAAGGCAGGAGGAAGGCAGTGTGGCCTGCACAATGAAAAGGCAGTGCTTCTTCACACGGATGTTGTGACCTGGCCTTGCCCCACACCACTTACCTGGTCAATGGCAAGAGTAAGAAGACAACATCAGCTTTCCAGCCTCAAGACCAATGGTATCCACCAGAGGATCTAGTTGCATCGGGCCTGAGAACCACATGTAGAGATTGTCCAAAATGCAGATTCCTGGGCCACTCTAGTGATCCTGATCCAGGAAGCCAGGAAGTGGAGTTTCCTTGCAGCCCAGGTGACTGACCACCTGAGAAAACCCGGCCTGCCTAACTTACCCACCCCCTACTGGCTGTACTTTTATGCCCCTCCTTCAAGAACCACAATTAGAGTCTCTTTAATTACACAAATATCTCCGGGCCTCAGTTCATTCCAGTCCCCTCTCCTGCCAACCCTCTGTGAACCGACTGCCATTCCCAGCTTGTCTACACTTGGAAAATCCTCCATCATCTCTAGAAGCTCTGGGTCCTGTGTCCATTTCTCCAGCCTCAACAGTCCTTTCTTATCTGCCCTCCACTCAGAACAAACTACAGACACTCTCAACAAGGTTTACATCCAGGCTCAGAAAACACAATAAAACAACTCTTAAGACCCAAACTGGGCTTATAACACAGTACAGGCTTAATGGGACAGAGGTATGGAAACTGGGAAAATTCCTTAGTCAGAGCCCAGTATTGCCAATGGGATGAGGTGACAGACCCGCCTCAGGCACCGTCATAGTATTTCCTTTGATCCTGGTAGGCGGCAAAGTAGTATGGCATGTGAGAAATTTTTACTGTTACAACCACGTACCATTGTCTCTAAGAAGCCTCGATATAATGTACACAATTTAGTAACAGCTTGTTGACAAGAAAACTTACATACTGTCACATTAAATCTGTGCATCAACTGGAAGACCCTAATGGTTTTAATACCAGGAAATCATTAATTCAGTGTTAGCACTGAAGATGGTGAATGTGGGGTTATTATTAATATTGAACATTTAAAACATAAGAAGACAAAAATATAAACTAAATATAAGGATGGCTGAGGAAGAAAGCAGTCTAGAAGCCTCCTTACAAACTCTTCCTTCTGCTACTAAATGACCAAAAAGCCAAGGGAAGGGAGAGAGGGAGTGCAGATGTGAAAGTACAAAAGGGGAATTCAGACCATAACGTCCTGTCCATCAAGAAAGAAGCAACCCGGGGAGTCATAAAGAGCCATATCCCTGAGACTCCTAAATCTGGAAGGGTGACGGAAGTCTCTTGGGAGAGCCAGGAGAGGTGGCTGCCACACTGGAGGCAACTTTAATCTCCTGCATTATCAGCAAGTGCCCCCAGGCAGCAGAGGTGGGCTGACAGAGCACGGCCCTACCTGCTCTACCATCTGCTCCTATGGACCAGTTTCTAAGTGGTGTAGACCTGCTCAGGTGCACCTGCAGGGGCAGGTCCAATCACGGAAGAGACCAGGGCCAATGCTAGCCTTGAGGGGCCTTCTCCAAAGTGGCTGTTCAAGGGGGAGTCCCGTAGGGAGTTCTCAGAAACCAAAGGGTGACCTGCATCAAGCTTCCAACAGGATAGCACATCCTTCCAGCTCAGTGGATAGAGAGCCCAGCCACAGCCTCACTCTGAGGGGTGAAGACTAGGGAGGCTGGCTCCTGGGGCTATTTCCATAAAACAAATAAAAGTCACAGACCCTAAGATGGCCCACCTTATCAGTAAATAAACAAAAATACATAAATTCAAACCATTTTTCTCCTAATGGAGTGGGAAAGATTTATAAAACCTAGTATTGATGATGGTGTGGGAATAATGGCCATTCACACGCACTAGTGATAGGACTGTAAATTATTGCAAATTTGCTGAAGGGCAATTTGGTAATATTTATCTAAATTATTTTAACATGCACTTTTTGACCCAGCAATTATACTTTTAGGAGACAGATTTTAAGGAAATAAGCTATTAAATATACACACACACAATGTAAGTTTGTTGGATCACTATTTTACTAGCACCATGCCTAGCACGTAGCAGATGCTCCAAAAATATTTGTTGACACAGAATCAATAAAATTATGAATTGAAAGCAACATAAATGTCTATCAATAGGAGATTGGTTAAATAAATAAGGAACTCATATATTCTGGGATTGTTATATAGCTACTGAAAAGGATGTATGTCACCTAGAGCTGAGGGTTGGAAAGGACTGACTGCAAAGGGATATGAGGGAACTCTCTGGAAAAATGGAAACATTCTTTTTTTTTTTAATATCTTATTTATTTATTTGAGACAGAGATCACAAGTAGGCAGAGAGGCAGGCAGATAGAGAGGAAGGGAAGCAGGCTCCCTGCTGAGCAGAGAGCCCGACTCGGGGCTCGATCCCAGGACCCTGAGATCAAGACCTGAGCCGAAGGCAGAGGCTTTAACCCACTGAGCCACCCAGGTGCCCCTAATGGAAGCATTCTAAGTCTTAGTTTTGGTGATGGTTGCAGTGTCCATTTAAGTGAGTGCTTTTTATTGTTTGTTTATTATACATTCAGCAACATGGTTGATTTTTAAAAAAAAATGGATGAGCTACTGAAACTAATGAAAACTGTTGTCATTAACACAGAAAGTTGTCTGCAAGGTAACATTAACTAAAAAAAAGATGATAAAAGAACATATATGATGATCCCCATTTATGAAAAATATGTAGAAAATATGTGTATGACAGAGTGTGGAAGCAGACTTTCCTATTGTTCTAGAGCTCTGTAGATGCCCTAAAGTTAAGGATAAACATGGTAAGCGCTCACATTTTCTAAAGAAAGATGCCAGACCATCTATTTGGAACAGATGGTCAAGCTGGTCCAGTAACGACTACTCCCCACAGTCCGTTGGAGAAAGCTAGAAAAATGCATGCTAGACTCCCAGGCTGGCTGGGGCAGTGGGAGATGGCCAGGTGAGGACACAGGACAGTGATGGGAGCAGCCTGTCCTTAGCTACCAA